AGTAAAAATACTATATGAGTTTCACATAATAATTGATGTATAGTCGTTCTTAAAAACTTATCGAATCACTGAAATAGTTAAAATGAGATTGAAATATATTCGTTCTTAAAAAACTCAAGGATTATTGACTCTGAAAAATTTTCTTTCAATAAAGGTTGAAATTGACTCAGTAGTTTCTCTAGTAACTATAGCGACATCTGCAGAGTTACAAAAATTCTGAAATAATTTTTAAAAATTGGATAATACTTTAAAATAACGTTCGAGATAAAATACAAGATTAGAATTAAGTAAAGGAAAATGTCACATGTGAGCTCCCATAAAAAAAGGGGGGAAAGGGAGTGAAAGAAATGTACAGGATAAGAATTTTCATAATGAAACTGTTATAAGTAGTATAATTTGAATTATTACAAAACTGTAATTGAAAGAGAATTTAAATGATTAGTTGTTAGTTGTTCTTTTGTGTTCGCTGACATTAATAATTATAAGGAATACAACTTGTAATTTTTTAAAAATATTTTTTGGAAAGAGAATGTAAAATGGTTAGTCGATCTTTTTTGTCCGTTAAGGTATAGCCATTCTTCAGAGTGCAGATCAAAATAAAACCAGATGTGTGACGTGTTGTCCATGTTGTTGAGAGTTTCGGTATGTTTGGGTTGTGGTATTTGAGTAGAATGCTGTTGACCAGTTTGTCTGTTCGTTTGTCTTTGTTGTATATAGTCTTGTAGTAAACAGTGGGTCTGGTAACGTTATTAGTCTGTTTGTTTTTGAGGCGTCGCTGGTGAGCAGTGCGTGTGATCCATGGAAATGAATGTTCAGTGATCAGTTGTAAAGGATAGTCTAAGGCAGTAAGTTCAAGTGTGAAAAGGTGGTGAATGAAGTTGTAGTCGTCTATTGTGGCTGAAGAAAAAAGACGGTGGATACAGTCGAGTAGTGGTCCATACATCCAGGCCAGTAAAGATGAAGTACTCTAAGAAACTAGAAATGTTTACTTTGTATCTTAGTTATGGCCCTCATTTACCGCGGTCGAGAATCATGACTTATTACTCCCTAATCGTGACTCATTGCTCCATAAGGATTCAGTCTTGGGACTTTTCAGCATGCAGAGGGCAACTTTATAAGGTCTGTAAGGAAAATATGATTCCCTCTATTTTAACCTGTTTATTTCTAACCTCCTAGATAATGTTCCTTAAAGAGAGCCAAGTTACTTGTGTATACTGTTGTACAGAATTTAACACAGTTCAGACTGCCTACCTCTTTAAGTAATGGGAAGAGGAGGGGAGGGGCTGCTACATTTATTGGGGGTAAAGAAATCCTTCTTGTTCTTTCATACTTTGAATTATTTAACTTTGTGGAACAAAATAATGGGGAGGAGAAAGGCATAACTATTTTGGTGCAGAAAAAGTTTTCACTTTGATTTCCCCATTTACCAGCCCTCCGTACAACATATGAGAAACATGATATTTGACAGCTGCCCATGAAAGTTGTAACAATTGCCAATTTCAGTCGCTATATTTTTATCTTCTGCATTTGCAATGTAAGAAGCAACAGTTTCATGAAGTCTATGAAGATACACTAAGCATGTTACAGATTTTATCATCAAGTTCTCCTTTCTGTGCAGATCTAGAAACAGCCTTATAAAGGCTTGAGAAACAGTAAAAACATTTGGCTTCATTTTCATCTAGTTTAAAACCACAATAACAAAACTCAAGAAGATGAGGTTCTTTTGGTACGTACTTATCCTTACACTTGGCATACCAAAAATGAAACGGGTCAATTTTCCTAAGCCAGATAGAGCTGAAGTACTCATGGCGCATGACTAAGCTCCACCGAGTTGAGAGTGTTGCATGACGTGCAAATGATGACAGAGTTACATGCTTGGCCTCGCAGCCTTTCATAGTGTTAATGCCAAGGCCAAATCGAAATTCTCGAAACAATGCTGCATTGTGGAAAGGAATTGCATATCTCACAGTCAACACTGTAGGGTCAACTGACTTCGTAAGAAGGGAACAAGTGTTAAAGAATAATTGGCAGTGAACCTTAAGTTCGTGACAAATTGCTGCATTAGTTTCAACTCTACTGAATTTTGATACTGCATCATGTAATTGCAGGGCAGCAAAAGCAACTGACATAAGTCTAAGTGATTCAGGCGCCATGTCATTTCCTCTCCTTACGGAATCAATAAGAAACATAAATTTGTGACATAAGCACTTGGTTTCTTTACCTGTAAATCGATATTCAAATTTCTTTTTTCTCCCTTCCGCCATTTTTTTATTTTCTTATATAGCCTAGATGCACCAACATCATTCTTTATTGAAAGGACAAATTTTTTGAGAGGAGTTTCATCAGGCAGGGTTGATAATTCAACACCCGTAACAGGGATGTTGCTTCGTGAAATTGCTTCCTCCAGTAATATAGAATGAATATACTGCCAAGCATTGTTTGAATTATGTAGTGGTTCTGCAAAAGCAAAGTCTACCAAATGTGCAATGATAGTTTCACATTCTTGCCTAGATTTTTGACCTTTAATAAACTGCATAAGTTTGCTTCGCTTGGTTGAGGGGGCTAGACGTGTGGCATTAAGTTCATTTTCTTTGGCTTTCACCCTGGCTGCCACAGTGAGCCTGTCATTGTAATTCCATTGTTGCCATGTAAACTCTTCACTCTCACCAATTGCCCCATTTACAGTGTATTTGTTTCCATCATGAACATTTGCAAAGAAAGAGAAGTAATGTGCAGCATTACTCAACTCACCAGCAAATGTGGCCAACCACTTCATACCAAAGGGAACTAATTTGAACTTAAATTGCACAGGGTACCCTACCACAGTATACCTCTTACTTTCAACATAAGCAATGTCAGAAACTAATTTTTTCGCATAGACCTTCATGACAACATGAGACTTGGAGCAATTTGCTCCAGCAAGGAGGAAGTTGTCATTGTGGCTCGCAGTTCGTTCTCCTACATTGATAAAAGAAAGAAGCCGCCGTCAGCACCAATGGCTACTTTGAATTGGTATGGAGCCTCATTAAAATGATGAAAAAATGGTGATCCTTCCTTGCTTAAGACTTTATTAACATGAATGTACAAATTTGCGAGTTCAAGTAGAAAGTCCTCAAGTTGCCTGAAAGCTCCTTCCACTTGTTCATCCTCCTCTAAGTTTCCACAAAATTCTGATTTCATATCAATTATTTCACAAACTTGAATTGGTTTTGAGAAAAGAAATATCCTTTTCGTAAGTAAGAATTTTAGGTACTTTCACTCCTGATACCTTTATACAGCTTCCACGAGCACTATTTCCAACAGATTTCATGTACAGGCTTTGCCTCAAACATTTGTGTTTTTCTTTACTAATTAATCCTTTACAATACAAAACCTTTACACTTCTAACTGCATTGTCAGTACTTTCTTCAAATTTAGCTACTTCTTTGTTTACAACTGATGGAAGTACTTTCTTTGCTTTCTTAGAGGATGTGACATAGTTCTTGAGTTGCTCGGAACTTGCAGTACCAACTAATGAGGTCCACATACCATCAAGGCAAGGTCTTTTGTCCCTTTCTGTGGCACCATGAATTTCAGCACCAATGGTTTCATGTTTACGTTTCCATGAAGTCGGTGGCTTCACAAACGTATCTTTAGCTTTTCTGAGTTTTCAGCAAAGGTGTCTTTCTTCGTGTCGTGAAGGTGTCTTTCTTCGTGACTTCATTCTTCTCTTCTTTGTCTCAGAAAGAACTTGTTTAGATGGCGTTCTCACTGATTCTAGTTCAGATGCCTTGGATTGGCATCTTTTGACCTAAGTGAAAAAAAACTTGTGTAATTAACTTGATAATAATACATAGTTATGAAAATTTTAATGTTCTCTCTCTGGTGATAAAAATCTGAAAATACCAACACACAGTAAAGCACTTTTTATCCTACATCTTAACACAGAATAATATACAGTGCAAAGAGTTGATTGGTAGGAAGTAAACTGCCCTCGACTGCATGGGATTTAATTGTAGCGTGACTGGCATATGGCATACTGATGAACATTGTGCCTGGCCAGGAAACCTAAGCTTGACTTGAGTAAACAGTCATCATAAAAAAAAACCCTTAAATTAAAATCTCGAAAATAATGTGCTTATTGCGGCACTTTCTAGCACACCACACGGTCGACTTTTCTTTTTTCTTCTTGATGTCTGTATTTAAAAGGAAAATGGGACGCCAATTTTTAAGAGACAATAGGTCCTTATCCTTTTTTGGGATTAGCGAAATAATTCCTTGTCTCTGAGAGAGGGACAGTTCCCCTTGTAGAGCCCTGTGATTAAGACAGTCAATCAAAGGGCAAGAAATCTCCTTCCAAAAACAGACGTAGAATTCCGCTGTTAGACCGTCTGTTCTGGGGTGTTGTTACATTGAAAAGCTTTATGGCAGATAAGCATTCTGCTTCAGTGATCGAACCTTCACAAAGGCTTTGTGAGACATCATCTAGTCTTGGTAAAGGTCCAGAATTAAGAAAGTCTGATAGCTGGTCAGGGGAGGTTTGGCCTTGGGAAGTATATAATTGTTGGTAGTAATTCTTCACTTCATTCAAGATAGTTTTCAAGTCTTCTATTGTAGACCCTGCCGAGGATTTCAATTTTTTTATGTGTCTTTTGTTGTAACTTCTTTTCAAAAGGTTGAGAAAATATTACATTTTTCTCCTGATTCATACCATCGAGCTCGGCTTCTGACAATACAACCTCTGGTTTTCTCCTCGGCCATTTGATCTAATTTAATTTTTAGTTTTTTTGCCTTGTTCGCTAGAGGATTTCCTTCTGGAGCAGCATCAATACGAGCATTTAGATCTTACAGTTTTCGGAGAAGTTCGGATTCCATATCTCTTTTTTCCTTAGCTTTTCTTTTAGCAAATCGAATGGAGAAGATCCTTGTTTCCATTTTTATCATTTCCCAAAGAAGCCTTTTATCGGTTACTCTCCTGTACTTTTCTTTAGCATATAGGATTAAAAACTTCAATTTTGTAACGAATTCTTGGTTCTCAAGTAGAGAATTATTAAATTTCCAAAACACTGGTCCTCTAGGTACTTGATCTTCTGGTGTCAACGAGATGATGACAGGTGAGTGATCCGAGTCATAATAAGCGCTGATATCCGTTTCAGTAACGGGTGTTAGAAATTGTTTCGAAATTAGCCAGAAATCTAGTCGACATTTAATCTTTCCTGAGCCATTTTCCCAAGAATAACGCTTCTTATTCGGGTGTCGAGTTCTTCAGACGTCGACTAAGACAAAGCTGTTACAAAGTTCCTGGATTGCTTGGATGGTCCTTTTCTTATGGAGTATGTCCCTACCACCTACTGTATCGACCTCTGTCAAAGGACAGTTAAAGTCACCACCTAGTGAAATGTTGTTAGTACTACTACGGCAAATGGGATCGACGATTTTGTCAAAAAAGTTTACTTGCTGGTTTTGGTCATTGGGAGCATAAATATTAACTAGACACAATTTATCTTGATTAATATCCATGTTTGCGACGAGAAAACGTCCATTTTTGTCCACAGTGATTGCCAGAATATCAACGTTTAGGGAAGGCTTAAACAATATCTGTTTTAGTAGTCAGTTACTGCGTATTCCAACGACCACCACATTTCGTATAATCAATCGCTTGATGTTTATTGATACTAACATTTGTAGCAACTGAAGCAATTATATTATTCGATCTGAAACAGAGCAATACAATTCGTCGTTACACAACTTATAATCTCTAGGACAATGATTTCACTGAAAAATACCTCAATTAGAAACTCTAATTTCGTAATCATGCTTTACTCACTTCTGTGGCGGATTGTAGCTTAAAACGGGTTAGCCTTAAACTGGTTAGCTTGAATCTTTTGTACTGGTGAGCAATACCGGTTAGCAAACTACTTCAGATTGAAACCCGATAGTGTGTAAAACAGCATAAAATCTAGTAATCTCAAAGTGTCAATCAATGTTCTTAATCTTTAACTAAATCAATGTTTGTTATTACGAGTTTATTTCGGGTTCTGTTAACTAAACAATATCACGCCCTTACTGTGTTTGGAAGCTTGGGCAAACAGGATTTCACCACCCCATTCTGCCCGCCACACATCCTCCAAGCTAGGATCGCTATAGGTTTCTTGTAAGAAAATTATATCAAATATATTCAGATGCAGCCACCGAAAGAGCTTCCTCCGTTTAATTGATTTATTGAGGCCCCTTATGTTCAGCGAAACTGCCTTAAGGCACGTATGTTTCTGGTATCTTTAGGCATTCATTTTCGGGTTTATATGTGTTCCACACTGTGCAAATCGTGATAGTGTTTGGCTCAAGAAAAAGTTGCCGTTTAGTATTTTGGCGCATGCAAATTACAATGCACAAAGGTGAAAAGCAATTGCAAAATAAAAGACAACATAAAAAGCGAAATACTTTGACAAAAAATTCTAGCACTTGTAACAAGATGCACATAAATTAAGCTGTAGAACAGCTTATTGTATAGGAAGGTTAATGCAAAGATGCAAAGCAGCATTCAATCGCGATTAGCGACAAAGCGACGCCTTCCTACCATTCTCTCGGCTAATTAAATATCAGAATGTAAATTTAAGATTGAAAAAAGTAGCAAGGTGTAAGGCGAACAAAGTGAATAATTCAAATAGTATTGAAAGGAGGTGTTTGCTATTTTTGGGAGCAAATTAGTATCCTATTTACATCGATCTTACCCGCACTCCTATTGAGGTATGGAAGTCTGGCGGCCACCTTCAGATGAAATGCAGAACAATTAGTACATCAAATAGGGCGGGAAGGGTGGGAACTCTGAAGGCGACCTGCAGGAAGGTGGAGTGCGGATAAACTAGCGATGAAAAGGATATTAGACACCAAACAGAAAGTACTCGAGACTTCTATCGAAATGGTAATGGATGCAATTGTACGATACCTCTTATACTCGCTTGGGTAAGACCGCTGTAAATAGTATCCTATTTACATCGATCTTACCCGCACTCCTTTTGAGGTATGGAAGTCTGGCAGCCACAGAGAACAATGACATGTAGAATGCCAGGTACCCAGAAAGCGGAGACCAACAGCCCAATCTCAAAGAAAACCTTAAAACTGAAAGCTAGAGAAAACCACAACACAAAGGGAAAATTAAGGTGGAAGAGCACACCTTGAAAGAAGACGAGTAGGAGACAGGGAAAGCAGAAACAAAATCCTTTAAGGCGTTGTAATCTTCATAAATGCGAGAGGCCTCCTGAGACTGCGAAGGTGCAGAAGTAAGTAGGTCCGCTGGGGCCCCAGCCTTGATAATGTCAGCTAACTTGAGATAATACAAAGCTGTCTTGGAATTTGACCAGCTAACGTGAGACATAACATCAGCCAAAGGGGAACCGGAGAAGGCCAGGGTAAGGGCACAGCCAGAACGAAAACTGTGAAGGGTTAGATCTCTGGCGGTGACAAGCATCTCATTTGGCGAAAGGGACGAGAGGAGAAGACGCTTTTCGATGTGTCGAGAAAGCAAGAGCAATTTGTCAGCAAAAAGTGGTACGGCCTGCTTGGAGGCAATGCTGGCCTGGAGTTGCTCAGCGGTGAACTCTTTAAGGTACTGCTTTACTAACAAGTCGGAGGCCGGGTTACCAATAAGGAGAGTCCTATTCCAGTCACCTTGACGACCAATGTTGAAAATATAGAGGGTAACTTGCCAATATATGAATCAACAGTGGAGTAGGCCAGTCTCAACAGGCACTTGCAAGGGAAAGAACCCCGCTGACCAAGATATGGACATCCTATGTTATGAACTTGGGTTTTACCTTTTGAGTCCTTGAAAACCAAAAAGCGGTAAACATCTAGGGGGGTTGCATCAAAAAGGCTTTTATTGCCAGGGAGGGCGTAAAGAAAGCCTTCAAGCTCAGCCTTTAAAGATTGTTTCTGCCTGGAATATGCGGACTGTAGAGAGCTGATACGTAGATCAATAGCAGGGAGGTCGAAACTGACTACCCTGGGAACGGCTGTGTGACCACGACGTCTAACATAACCACAATTTTGACAAAACTTGAAGACATCGTCATTGGGATAGTGGCAAGATGGGCACGCAACTGCTGGGACAAATAAGCGCAACAGGAGAAAGAGCCTAGAGAAAAGGAAGAATGGGTAGAGGGTTATCAGATAGGAGACAAAAAGAGACAGGAGGTGCCAAAAGACTGAATTTTAATTATCACACGTAACACATTCTATTACAATAGCTTATGTTCCTCTGAATAGAAAAAAGGCCAAGATAATGATCCGATGAAGAAAAGTTATGTGAACAGACTAAACCGAAAATAAATATAATCTATTCATGAATATTCTAAAAGGGATCAATACGAAACACCCACAAATCCCAAGGGAGGGGCCAGCGCGAAGAAAATCCTTCAGAAGAGGGGAGAACAACCATTCTGAGGGTACCCTTAGGAGCGAGTTGGGAAGACGAATATGATTGCAAAAGAGGCCACCAGAATTTTTGAGAGCGAATGTCGGACAACAATGGTACGAGGAAAGGATTGACTTTTAACAAAATGCAAGACCTGGGGAATGAGAATAATAGGGGGGAAAACATAGGGGTTTGAAAAAAGGTGGCCATGGTTGTAAGGACGCTGGGCAAACCAATTAACCCCTGAACAACCAGGAACAGGATACGGAGAAAAGAAAAGAAGGGGAGAACCATCTAGAGCGCACTGCAGATTGGAAGGGAGAGCCATCAAATCGACGGAGTGACCAAATTGGCCACCAAATCTGGCTTGAACTTGACCCGAGGCAAAAGGGGAAAGCATAGAATCCTGCAACGACAAAACACGGGAAGGAGGGTCCGCAGGATTAGCAGCGGAGGGAATGTAAAAGGGATTGAGGTGAATGTTACAAGAGGAAATTATCCCAAAGACACGCTTCAAGGCGACAACCAGGTCTGGAGACTTTGCGCCTTGATGCTGCCAGGATGTGGATAAGAACCTGGCAATCAGTATAAACATCCACCCAACTATCACGCAAGGAACCGGAAAATGCATCCAGGGCATTGGCGAGGGCCCAAGCCTCCATAGCATTAATGTGGAGATGACGTTGATCAACGGGCCAGTAATCCCGAATAGTGGCTGAAAAAGTATCAGGGCCAAGAACACAGCCCCAAGCAAATGAGGAGGCATCTGAACATAACTTGACCTGATGATGGGTCTCTAAAAGCCAAGGAAGGGAGTCGAACCAAGACTCGAGAAACAACCACTGCTCAAGCTCGCGTTTCAATGGGCCAGTAACTAGAATAGGCTTACAAGAACCGTGACGTTGGCTCTTCGCAATCACATTATAGATATCATTGAGAAAAAGAAGAGCCCCGGTAACCGCCAAAGAGAAGGAAATACACTTTCCAGAGAGACGCTGAAGTGTCTGAAGATCGGTAGAAGGCGAACTAAGAACAGAGCGTAAAAGGGACAAGAACTTTTGCTTCTTCTCCTCGATAAGCAAAAAGGCTTGCTGAACAGAATCCACCAAAAAACCAAGGTAAGGGACTACCTGCTTGAGACCAATAAAATAAGCCAACCAACCAACCAGCGTATAACAAACCACGAAAATAGTGGAGCGAAGCAGATGATCTGTCCGCGTCTGAGGAAAGAGAGGCGTAACCCGAGACCTTAGGGGGAGCTGAATTTCACCCGTATGACGATCGTCAATATACAAGGAGCAAGGTATGAGGAGGGAACGAAAATAATGGGAAGCGAGAAGACCTATAGAATGGTAAATATAGGCAGACGATTTTACGGAGCCCAGTTAGTGCCACCTAATTTTTCTCATCAAGTTTCTTTTTCACGACGTCAGTTTTCTCTGGCACGACTTTTTTTTTTCGGCACGACTTTTTTTTTGGCATGACTCTTTTTTTTCGGCACGCCTTTCTTTTGGGGGGGGGGGCCGCCTTTTTTTTTCGGACCGCTTTTTTTTTTTTGGCCCGACTTTTTTTTTTCGGCCCGCCTTTTTTTTTTTGGACCGACTTTTTTTTTTTCCCCACCCTTTTTTTTTTTTGCTCCAATTTTTTTTTTGCCCTGCTCTTTTTTTTTTTCGTCCAACGTTCCGTGTCTTTGTTTCTGTGTCTTCTCTTTTTTTTTTTGTCTTCCTGTTGTTTTTGCTCTCTCTTTTTTTTTTTTCCGCTTCTTTTTTTTTTTGTTTGTCTCTTTTTTTTTTTTCTGCACTTCTTTTTCTTTTTGGCCCGATTTTTTTTTTTCTGCCCGCTTTTTTTTTTTTGGCCCGCCTTTTTTTTTTTCGGCACGACTTTTTCTTTTTGGCACGACTCTTTTTTTCGGCACGACTTCTTGTTTTCGGCACAACTTTTTTTACTCAACATTACAGGTCACCGCTGACCTATCGCAGTTTCATTTGATCAGAAAGTTCAACATGGTGGCCAAAGGATGTTTGAAATGTCGTTTTTTGTTATTTTTGCTTTTAATATCATTTTCCACGTGCACGGGGGGTTTGGTATAAACAGATGACTTAGAGGTTGCTACACGCACATGGTATAACAACAGACAAGGAGACTGTTCGAGAGATGTTAAAGATATTAGATCCTGAAGGAGTTCAGCTGAGGTCGAGACATCGATTACAAAGAAGAAAATATAAAACAGCAGGCCAAACCATATATGGCACATCGACGGTTATAACAAACTGAAGCCATTTGGCTTTTGTATTCATGGGGCTATTGATGGATACAGCAGGCGCATAATGTGGATAGAAGTTGGCTCTACAAACAATGATCCGTTTGTGATAGCTCAGTACTACTTAGACTGTGTGAGACAAGTAGGAGGGATTCCGAAAATAATAAGAGCGGATTGTGGAACAGAAAATGTTAACGTGCCTGTTTTACAACGATTTTTTCACAATCAGGATCAAAGCTTTTTATATGGAAAATCGTCATCTAATCAACGCATCGAGGCCTGGTGGGGTATTCTTAAGCGGGGAGGTATGGCTTGGTGGATTAATTTTTTTAAAGATTTAAGAGACTCCAGGCTTTATATAGAAGACAATGTCATAGAGGCCGAATGTCTCAAGTTTTGCTTCATGCCAGTTATACGGGAAGAGCTTCACAAGTTTGCCATCCAGTGGAATTTGCACAAGATAAGACCGTCAAGGAATGCAGAATCTCCAAGCGGGCGGCCTGATTTACTTTACCATGTTCCTGACCTGACTGGTGCAAGAGATTTAATGATGCAAGTTTCACATGAAGATGTGGACATGGCAGAGCAACTCTGTGGCGTCAGATCTCCAGAACACGGTTGTTCAGAGGAGTTTGTGGAATTGGCATCCCTAATAATGCAGGAAAGAGGTCATACAATGCCTACATCGCCAGATAATGCTTTGGTTCTATTCTGTTCCTTAATAGATGACATAGCGGATATCTAAACGTTCGATTTTTGTTCGCTTTACATACATGACATGTCTGTCGGTATTCACTGTGACAATTTTGTACTTTGTTGCAAGGTCGTCGTCAAATTGTAATTAATCATAGAATTCGAGTAGTGTTCCATTTTCTTCAAGAGCCGACCCTTTGACTTTTGACGGGGTAGTGGGTAACCAGGCATGGGAAAAAACATTTTACGAGTCTTCTTTTGTGGTCAAATCTATTTTTTCCTGATTTTTTGGGTTTAAATAACAAGAGTATTGACTCCATGCAATATATGTATTTTTCGTTCCGGGTCTGTTTGCAGGACATTTTTGTAACTTGAAAATCACCCACCCTCTCCCCTCATCCCCCTCAAAAGTCAAATGATTGAACTGGCGAAATACTACGGTGGCTCATAAGGACAAAACACTTCCCAGAATCCAAAACACGTCCCAGAATCCAAAAACACGTCGCAGAATCGAAAAACACTTCCCAGAATCCAAAACACGTCCCAGAATCCAAAAACACTTCCCAGAATCCAAAACACGTCCTAGAATCGAAAAACACTTCCCAGAATCCAAAACACGTCCCAGAATCCAAAACACGTCCCAGAATCCAAAAACACGTCCCACATGGTGTTAATCAAAGAAGACAAAGACGACTTGAACGAAGGCAGTACAGATACCCAGGGCCAAACGCAGTCTGGCACATTGACGGATATGATAAGCTAGCTCCTTATGGATTTTGCATAAGTGGCTGCATCGATGGGTATTCTAGAAGGATTATGTTTCTACACGTTGCTTCTACTAATCATGACCCTTCTGTTATTGCTCATTATTACTTAAGTTCTGTAAAGCAAATTGGAGGATGCCCAAGACTGGTTCAAACTGACTGCGGAACAGAAAACGTTACAGTAGCTGCAATACAGGGTGTTTTCTGCATAGATGCTGCTCCTCCTTTTGATGGCCCAAACAGTCATCGATATGGAAGTTCACCCACAAACCAACGTATTGAAGCATGGTGGTCGTATTTTAGAAAACTGAACAGCGGCTGGTGGATTGATTTCTTTAAAGATTTGACAGTTTCAGGGAATTTGGTTCATACCTGTTGTCTGCAATTCTCTCTCATGGCTTTAATCCAGGAAGAGTTAGACAGAGTGGCCAGTGAATGGAACAGTCATCGGATTAGACAGAGCAGAATGGCCGAGTGTCCTCCTGGGGTACCTGATGAGCTATATTTTCTATCAATGCTTTCAGGTAGTTATTTATCTTGATAAATTGGATATCAAATTATGAAATGTAGTAGTATCTGTTGCTTATATTAGTTCGAAAATACCGCTATACAGTTACCGGAAAAATCCTGAAGACCACGTTAAGATCGATGTCATAATTAAAATACTTATCTTTAACTATAGGTGTCCCTGACAAGAAACAGGTGGTTTCACCGTTAAATATTGCTTGGGCTCAACAGAGGGTGACTCAACCACATATGATTGCAGACGCTTGTTTCAAGGATTACCTTTTGCAAGTATTTGGAGATCTTCAAATGCCTTCAACTTGGCAAGAGGCACTTCAGCTGTATTTATATTTGCTGCGTGCGACGCAATAAACATTCTCTTGATCAACATTAACATAATTACCAGTTAACTTCAATAAGCGCCGCACCCTTCTTGATTGTTTCTAAATAGGATAAAACTTCATTTTGAAAACATGAACTTCTTGGTTGTTGTTGAATGTTTTTTTTAACATCCTTATTTACCTTTCCATTACACATCTCTATCCGCCAACTTGTCGTGATTTCGTGATTACCTTTAAACTAAGGAGAAAGGCCTTGACGTCGCCAAACATGATCACATATTTTGGTGGGAAGACTTTTGTTGAGCCAAAAGTCAAATAATATTTAAATTTCTAAGTCGTTGTTCTGGCATAACTATGCATAACTGAAATCTACTATTAATATAAAGTAAGCCATAACCATTAACCAAACGAAATAATGTTGTTGTTGTTGCATGGGCACACGACTTTTTCCTGTAAGGAGAAAATTTTGTCTAGAAAGATTTCTAGATAGTTCATCAATTTGGGTATACCTTAGGCATTCGGTAATTTTTGTAAGGACGGCAAAAAGAGGTCAGTGTGACATGGAAAAACAGCGAGGGGGTTGGAACAGGCTATTTTTCTAATATATTCGGAGTTTTTCGATTAAGTTACCCACGATTTTCGGATGATGTGTTTTTCGCATTTTATTAATTTTGGGGGTTTTTTTTGGTAAAACAAAGGGCTCCCCTAGAAGTTTCTTAGTGGAGTGTGACACATCTCTGCGACGTCCCCACAATCTGGGCCGAGTTGTTCAAAGCTGGGTTAAGATAACCCAGGGTTAGTGCGAAATTTGAATTCAGAAATGAAAGCTTAGAAAGTAACTTCAGTTTGATTCTTTTTACAAACAAGTTGATGATTAGATGCTCTTAAAAATAATAGAGAAAATTGTCCGAGAAAATGCTTTTGAACAAAAGAAATAGAAATCCCGGTTAAATTTAACCCCGGCCGGGTTAAGCGCTAATCGGAACAACTGGGCCCTGAACGCCTGGAACAGACTATTGTTAGGGCAGCTCCAAATTAACCAAACAGGCTTCTTAAATCAGATCCAGAAAACCACTTGAGACACTTCTGACATATGAAAACATCAGGTCATTGGGTGTCCCTGACTAAGAATTAAGGCCATACTATAGTGTAGTGGTTCTCTTCACGATTTCCATGTTACTGAAATGTTTCACTTTAGATGCCGGTTCTCAGTTCATGAAAACTGTTTGCCTGACTTTCATGTGGAAATCATTTAAAGCAAGACATTTTGCAAGACGACAACGAAGCGCGCACGTGTGCAACTGGAAACTCTGTGGAGCCTTCTAAACAGTTTCAGTAAAAAAGTTGTTGCGGGGGTTGAGAGATTAAGAGGGGACATGGGTTGGTAGTATAACTTCAAATTTAACCATCTAACAGCCCTTTGGTCTAATAGCAAGTCTTTAATTCCACTTTCCTATAAAACGTAAAGCTCAGATACAATAGATGAATCATGACACTCATGGTATCCTGCCACCTGCATTGGAAAACGGAACAATAAAAGTATCACGTTTACATGTAAATGTCTTTTGTAGTTAAAAATTTAACTTTTGATTGTTTTCTTTTACCTCTATTCTACTTCTTTCCTAAGAGGATTTTTGCAAAGGACACTTTTAGGATTCTGTATAAACAGGCAAGAAATTACACGATAAAAAATTTTCACTCAATTTTTACTCAAACACACTCGGCAATCAAGATTTTCATGTGAAACTGAAGAGGAATCTGTTCCACTTCCGACTTGACTTTCCAGAGTTTTCTTCTGTCCACCAACTTTGGTTAATGTTCCAAGGGAGGGTAGCGACACGCTGTCTCCAGAACTTGCCGATAACACCTGTATTTATTAAAGAAAGTAAAAACAAGGTTCTTTCATGAGTCATTTCAGTTCAAAGTTTATTAACTCACGTTACGATTTGTCCTTTTAGATCGAGATAACAAGCAGTAGGCATCTTCACCTGCCACTTAATAGAATCAGTTCGTGTTTTCTCAAGCAAGCTGATGAGGTTCTCTTACCTTATTAATATGCTGATGTTTTGGCAAGTCACTGACATTTTTTGTGGTTCAAGAGATGACCCGCCAGAAATTTCAAAGGATTTTAAGTCCCAGCCATGTTGGTTTTAACTACCAAAACAGTTTAAGCTGTTAAAACCAAATAAAAAAAACTACAAAAAACTTGTTATAACACTTCCAGCAGCACAACTGTTTTCTTCTTGTTCTAGAGGATAGCGTAGTTGGATTCTAACTTTCACCGCAAGTCAATTGAAGTTAGACTCTTAACTTGCATTGTGTAATAGAAACACCGTTCTTGTTATTGTTTTAAAAAAAAAAACAAAAAAATGATAACGTTTCCCTTTTTTCCAGCTCCTACTACTTTCCATAGTACATAACTTGAGTTTAAAAAAGTTTTAAAAAGTCTTACAGTCCAAAACTGACCAGCAGAAATCAAATTTACAAGTTTTAACTCTTCAAACAGCAACTAAACTCACTGTTTGCCTCACTACAGTGCGAAATGACTGTGCCTCGATCTAGTGGCACTGAAGTAGGGTTATGCATCCGAAACGTCTGTTTTTCAAAAACCATTTGACACTTTTTGATTTCTTTATGGAATATCACCTCATCAACTTTCTACATACAAGTGTCACACATCCTTGAGGGTTGTTCGTTCTAGTGTGTTTACCAAAAAAACATGTATGCTCCTCTAAGTCAACATTAACACTTCTATCTTGGGGCAAAGTTGTGACTTAGGGGAGGGGTAGGCGGTCAGTTAACCAGAAACTTCAAATGATCCAAGTATATCATAAATTAATGATCCCATCGAAAATATACAGCAGCTGCATCAAAAAGTTATATATTCATTCACTTGTTGACATGACTGTCGGACCTGTCTGTCATGCGTCTGTCAAGGTGTTAAGAGTGTGACGGGGATGAAAGGTCACCTGCAGGGAAAAAAAGGGAAAATCCCTAAAGGAAATCCTAGATAAAGCTAAGCTATGAAGGCTTTATTAGAATTTATTCATCCGCGTATTACAGGAGGCGTGTAGCCTTGTCAACACTTTTATCACCGCTTTTAAAGATTCCTCGTTCCCCATTCCCATGCTCCGATTGCCCGTTCCTTGTTTTAAAGGTCGCCCGTTCAATATTAAAATTGTCGTTCAGGATCAATGATTATTGCCTGCTCGTGATTGGCTGAAACTTCTTTTGTTGAAATCCATTGTCCGCATCCTGTGATTTGATTGGTCAATTTTATTTAAGTGACCCCGGTAACAGTAGTCGCACTGTAATGGTAATTGAAGTCCCAGGGGAAGGGCATTCTTTGTTTGGCGGTAGGTACCTCATGTATGGGGACATATATTGTCCCCATATATGAAGTACCTACCTGTTTGGCCTATACGGGTATGTGCCGCTGAACAGGGTATGGTTTTCAAGGTCTTGAGTCTTAAACAGGTTATACGATTTTACTATAGACTGCTTGCAGTCCGTCTTTTCTCTTAAAATCCGTCTAGTTCTTATAACNATCCTAGATAAAGCTAAGCTATGAAGGCTTTATTAGAATTTATTCATCCGCGTATTACAGGAGGCGTGTAGCCTTGTCAACACTTTTATCACCGCTTTTAAAGATTCCTCGTTCCCCATTCCCATTCTCCGATTGCCCGTTCCTTGTTTTAAAGGTCGCCCGTTCAATATTAAAATTGTCGTTCAGGATCAATGATTATTGCCTGCTCGTGATTGGCTGAAACTTCTTTTGTTGAAATCCATTGTCCGCATCCTGTGATTTGATTGGTCAATTTTATTTAAGTGACCCCGGTAACAGTAGTCGCACTGTAATGGTAATTGAAGTCCCAGGGGAAGGGCATTCTTTGTTTGGCGGTAGGTACCTCATGTATGGGGACATATATTGTCCCCATATATGAAGTACCTACCTGTTTGGCCTATACGGGTATGTGCCGCTGAACAGGGTATGGTTTTCAAGGTCTTGAGTCTTAAACAGGTTATACGATTTTACTATAGACTGCTTGCAGTCCGTCTTTTCTCTTAAAATCCGTCTAGTTCTTATAACCACGACGTAGCCTGCGTGGCAGGCGTTCGAAAGTGAAGAGGAAGGGAATTAGGGCGCGCACCCTTCGCGTTTCTCTCGCGCCTAAAACTCCCTTTCCCTTCCCTTTCAAACGCCTGCTAACCACGACGTTGTGTTACAATAAGGGATTGGGAGCAGACGAGAAAAGACGGACTGCGGACTCTTTTGTAGTCTCTTACTTTTTCTTCTCGGGCTTACGCCCTCATTTATCGCGGCTCGTGGCTTCGCCGCTCGCGTGCTTGGGTTTCGCGTGCAGTAACTTTGCAAAGAAAAATAAGAGACTGCTCGTAGTCTAATTTCTCTATAAAGCGTCTTGAACAGGGTGTGAAAACTTTCGATGAGCGGTCTACATTTGCAATACCAATAAATTTTTCCGAAATATCTCTTTCACGATTTTAGTGTGAGAAATTACTTAATTCTGTATGCAAAACAAACTTGTCTTAAACATGGTAGCGAAATAAGCGATTTTTGTCTTAAACAGGGTCGGGGTTTGATGGCCTCGACGGCACACCTACACCCAAAATTCCCTCAATTGCCCCCTCCCCAACTTCCCCTCCCCCCCTGGATTGAAATAACAAAGGAGCACAGCTGCGAACAGCATCAAACATGAGGTAAAGGAGACGTCAAATCGTATTTTACATTGTAATATTTTTTAAACTTCAGTTACTGGTCGGATTTAATATGCATTGACGGAGAATGAAGGAAAGTAGCATTCATTTTCATTTTCACTGTTTCCTTTGTAATTTGTTGATCACCCATTAGTGATAATACCAGGCACGATTTACGGACAGGTTTTCAGCGTAAGCTTTCGTGTAAGCGGCTTACAGGGCTTACAAGCTTTCAGGTTATAAATTAACTGGTTTGAATATATCATTCAAAGATGTTGTGGAAACTGCACCTTGCGACGTCAGTCTAGTAAGTTTCAAGAAAAGAGAAATTTAAGTCAAGAAGACTTGACAGTTGGAACATACCGGTAAGTCATTATTTATTAGATTAATTAATTTTATTTATTTTAACATTTTTTAACATTATTTTAACATTTTTACAGGCACAGCTGTAGGCAGACTTCATGATCAGTCAGCGCTGAGGAGAAAAATGGACGAGTTCATGTTAGTATAGCTGGGTAGTGCCTCAGAAACACAGACATTAACACATACAGATAGAAACTAATGCACCAGAGTTATATGCTTGTGACGTTATACTAGCGGAAGTCTTGAAAATGTGTTCACAAAACTACTAGAATATTTGAGGATAAACCTGGCAATAGGAACAATAGGAACTACACTAGGCACTAGGAAGCTTTTTTTATCGCTGGATACAGTTTTTGGCGAAGCCGTATAATTCTCCATAATTAAAAATAGCAGATGCACGGGGTGTTACGTTGGGATGCTGCTAAAAAGTCAAATGGTTAAGATGACGTACGAACTAGATGGCGCATACGTGTGAAGTGTGTAAGTGATCCAGAATCAAAGTAAAAAATTCTCTCATAGGTCCACCTAGATCAACCGCCCCTTCGCTGCTACCATTATCATCTGTGAATTTTACAGACACTATTTGCGGGCGAAAAAGACTTACGGGACAACGCCCGCCTTGTCCCTTCCCACAAGAAAGTCCGTGAAATGTTGAACTTCGATATGCATGTTTCATCAATTTCTTTTGCTAAGTCTGTGACTATCTCTTCGATGTCTTTTTCCTCGGCAATAGCTAAAGAGGGTTGATTCTGGGTGTCATCAACTCCTTCCCCGTGTCCTTCACTATCAGAAAACGAGACGTCATTCCATTTGCTTGAGGTAGCACCTAGAAGGGAAGCATAATATTTGTCTAACTGTATATTGTCCTCTACGATTAAACATCTAGAAGAAATAAAAAAAACATATCAAGAGATGAACATTCGTGATTCCACCGTAAACAAAGTTCCTCTTGGTTCCATCATGCCCCAAAGTTTGGTCACTACTGTACTTTACTTGAACCCTGCGAAAGGTAGTGAGGATACGCTATTTAACCGCATCTGACTTATTCTAACAGAAAAGTAATAATAGTTCTAAAGGTCTATGACTTTTTTCACTGTTACTGGAAAACCTTCGATACAGTTCTTGTAAATAAATTTAACATTGCAGTCTGCATGTGTACCAAACACTTGACAAGGGTACCACGAGTGGCCTACAAATGTCCACAGAGGTGACACTCTTAAAAAGATAATTTAAGATAGCAATTAATTAAATTGGACGTTGGGAAAGGGGGGAACTGAGTGAGTAATACAATCAGTGTATTGAGGGAACGTCAGTGTATTGAGAGAAGGTAAGCAATATTGATAATAAAAGACACTGGATTTCTACCTTTTTAGAAGTACAAAAATGCTTACTCAGAAGTCTCCCTCTCTTTTACATTAACGTCTTTGCTGGCTTCCAGGTCAGGTTCTGTTCCTGTGCTGCATCTGCTTGTATCCCCGAAACCTTTAAAGTGAACCTCGGTGTCTGAATCTGACATAGGAGGGGTCTCTGAAGATGTTATCATGGAAATAGTACACCTGTCAGAGAGTTCACTGCTTGGTGGGAGACAAACACCAAAAGGATCACAAAGTGTGAAATTCTCAGTGTATGGGCTCAAGGATCCTGCCCAATCATAAACAGCAGACATTTTTGCACCTGATGGAAATCGTCGTGAGCACACACACCCATTGAAAGATGTCTGACTTTAACTGTTACAAAATTGTCATCAGGCTCTGGGGGCACTCTTGCACTCCTAGCTCGCTGAATTGTCATCCTTCGTTCAACTTCTGCGGCCTCATTTTCTTGATGGATCTTTTTCTGCCTGTTAGCATTTAAGGACTCTTGGTATGCTTTGTCCCGTTCCTGCCTCAACGCCTTTCTTTCCTCAGTAGAGCCAATTAATGCTGTTTCACTATCGACACTCTTAATGTCCATCACTGGTGAAGAGCTTAATGCCTTTCTTTCCTCAGTTGAACCAATGAATGCTGTTCCGCTGTCGACGCTCTTAATGTCCATCACTGTTGAAGGCCTCAATGCCTTTCTTTCCTCAGTTAAGCCACTTAATGCTGTTCCACAATCGACACTCTTAATGTCCATCACTGGTAAAGGATCTTCTTCGCTATCGTAGTCAAAAAGTTTTTGGGACAATAGATATATTCTCACATTCTTTACTTTATGAGCATCAATGTAGTTATTGATATTGAAAGGGAGCTCATTTCCATCAATATTGACAGTGACTTCAATTTTCTCATTTTTGAAGTTGGCTAGATCAAAAGTCATTTCTTCTTCTTTCCCAAAAGTGGATTTCCCATCTGGGAAAAAAAGACCCTTACAAGTTTTCATTAACTCATACTTGTTAGTTGACAGTGGTAGTTCTACTTGACGGCTTCCCCCTCCCCTCGA